CCAGTTAGGCATGGGGCCGAGGGTCAGCATGGCCCATGCCAACCCGGGAAAGGACTTTGCTTCAATTGGCAGCTCCAAGACATTGAGCTGCCTCCTGCCTTAATCCCCCTAGTTATGAGCTCACTCCCACTCCCGCCAATGAAATCCCCAGGTGGAAATTTCATAAACATCCTGCCCTCCAACCACTTAGTCAGCTCTGGAAACGCAAGGCAGAAAGAATTTCAGGGCCAAAGTCCCGGCTCTCCCGGCAGAATCACCAATGCGCACATCTGCACAAGCACGTCAGCATGTACCTCACTGGCATCTCGGTTCTGCCTCACCACCATCCTTGACTGCAGGGATTACTGCCCTTACTGTGCAGACGAGGACGTGGGTATTACTCACCCAGTGGTGGGAGACAAAGACTCAACCCTGACGTCTCAGCTCCAAATCCTCTCCCTCAGCTCCCAAATGGGCACACGCACATGACAGCTTACCGCTGGCCTTGCTGGGCTGTAATGACACGTCTACTCATCTGTCCTCCTATGGACGTGGATGGGGTTCGATTTATTCTTATGTCCTTGGAGCTAAGCATCGGGCCTGGCACAGGGCAGGTATACTATGTGAAGATTTCAGACGCTTGGACTACTGCCACCTTACCGAAGGACACTTTTCCCACACTTCAACTATTATTTGATCTGTTCTGACACCCTGTAAGGTCAACAGTTTAGATGGCATCATTCCTGTTTCATAGCTGCCCAGAAGCCCAGAGAGGTTCAGTGATCTGTCCAGAGTCACACAGTAAGGACAGGGGCTGGGCTCAGGACCCAGGTCATTCTTTTCATCATTGTTTTAAGACTTGCTGTATGTTGCCAGGGCTGCATTTGAACTCATGACCCTCTTGACTTAGGCTCCCTAATAGTAGGGATGACAGGAGCATGCCATTATACCTGGCTTGACCTGAAGTACTCTGACTGCAGCACCTGGCCTCCTCAATGACTCCATCCCTGGTGGAGGTGGGGCCTGGAAGGCTAGCAGCCTCATCGGAGGAAGACAGTCTAGTAGGAGGTGAGCAAAGTTCACAATGCCAAGTGTAGCTAGCAGGCCGGGCTCTGACCCTGCAGGGCCTTTCCCACCATTAGGTTTGGGTGTGCCAGTCCACTCATGTCCGAGTCCTCTTCTGTGATAGGGTGAGCACCTGGTATTGCTCCCAGCTGGATGCTGTGGGATCCCATGAGGTAAAGCAGAGACTCAGCTCTGGGACAGGCACTCGGCCGCCCGGCCGCCCACCACACGTCACTTCTTGCCCCTGTGGGTTATGGCTGGGGCTAGAGAAGAAAAGGAACTGAGTACCAGCAGATCTTAAGGCGTGGTAGGGGTCCAGATGGAGAAGAATCCAGAACGCATTCCTAAAGGCCTTGCACTCTCTCAGTCCATGTCTAGGGTCCTGCGAGGCTACTCTTCCAGGGAATCAGGAAAGGGAGCTGGAAGCCCACAGGGCCCAAAGCGGGCTAGAGCACTTGTGCTGCCTGTGACAGAACAGAGACTTGATGTCACATCAGCAGCTACCCCGGGACAAGTGGGCAAACTCCCCCCTCATCCTCCAGGCAGTCACTTCATCCTGCCTAAGTTGGTCCCCATGCTGCCACCTGAGGCTACTCTTCCAGGGAATCAGGAAAGGGAGCTGGAAGCCCACAGGGCCCAAAGCGGGCTAGAGCACTTGTGCTGCCTGTGACAGAACAGAGACTTGATGTCACATCAGCAGCTACCCCGGGACAAGTGGGCAAACTCCCCCCTCATCCTCCAGGCAGTCACTTCATCCTGCCTAAGTTGGTCCCCATGCTGCCACCTGCCTGCTGGCCATCCTGCCTAAGTTGGTCCCCATGCTGCCACAACCTCCCTGCTGGCCCTGTCTCCACCTGCCAGCCAAGCTGGGTGCCAGAGTGCAGACTAGGACCCCAGCGCTGCTCCCCAATTAAACCTATAAGACCAAGAGAGCTTTCCCGCCTAAAGGCTACCACTTTCCTCGGGGCCCTGCCTTTGCACGCTCACTCCCACTCCCGCCAATGAAATCCCCAGGTGGAAATTTCATAAACATCCTGCCCTCCAACCACTTAGTCAGCTCTGGAAACGCAAGGCAGAAAGAATTTCAGGGCCAAAGTCCCGGCTCTCCCGGCAGAATCACCAATGCGCACATCTGCACAAGCACGTCAGCATGTACCTCACTGGCATCTCGGTTCTGCCTCACCACCATCCTTGACTGCAGGGATTACTGCCCTTACTGTGCAGACGAGGACGTGGGTATTACTCACCCAGTGGTGGGAGACAAAGACTCAACCCTGACGTCTCAGCTCCAAATCCTCTCCCTCAGCTCCCAAATGGGCACACGCACATGACAGCTTACCGCTGGCCTTGCTGGGCTGTAATGACACGTCTACTCATCTGTCCTCCTATGGACGTGGATGGGGTTCGATTTATTCTTATGTCCTTGGAGCTAAGCATCGGGCCTGGCACAGGGCAGGTATACTATGTGAAGATTTCAGACGCTTGGACTACTGCCACCTTACCGAAGGACACTTTTCCCACACTTCAACTATTATTTGATCTGTTCTGACACCCTGTAAGGTCAACAGTTTAGATGGCATCATTCCTGTTTCATAGCTGCCCAGAAGCCCAGAGAGGTTCAGTGATCTGTCCAGAGTCACACAGTAAGGACAGGGGCTGGGCTCAGGACCCAGGTCATTCTTTTCATCATTGTTTTAAGACTTGCTGTATGTTGCCAGGGCTGCATTTGAACTCATGACCCTCTTGACTTAGGCTCCCTAATAGTAGGGATGACAGGAGCATGCCATTATACCTGGCTTGGCCTGAAGTACTCTGACTGCAGCACCTGGCCTCCTCAATGACTCCATCCCTGGTGGAGGTGGGGCCTGGAAGGCTAGCAGCCTCATCGGAGGAAGACAGTCTAGTAGGAGGTGAGCAAAGTTCACAATGCCAAGTGTAGCTAGCAGGCCGGGCTCTGACCCTGCAGGGCCTTTCCCACCATTAGGTTTGGGTGTGCCAGTCCACTCATGTCCGAGTCCTCTTCTGTGATAGGGTGAGCACCTGGTATTGCTCCCAGCTGGATGCTGTGGGATCCCATGAGGTAAAGCAGAGACTCAGCTCTGGGACAGGCACTCGGCCGCCCAGCCGCCCACCACACGTCACTTCTTGCCCCTGTGGGTTATGGCTGGGGCTAGAGAAGAAAAGGAACTGAGTACCAGCAGATCTTAAGGCGTGGTAGGGGTCCAGATGGAGAAGAATCCAGAACGCATTCCTAAAGGCCTTGCACTCTCTCAGTCCATGTCTAGGGTCCTGCGAGGCTACTCTTCCAGGGAATCAGGAAAGGGAGCTGGAAGCCCACAGGGCCCAAAGCGGGCTAGAGCACTTGTGCTGCCTGTGACAGAACAGAGACTTGATGTCACATCAGCAGCTATCCCGGGGCAAGTGGGCAAACTCCCCCCTCATCCTCCAGGCAGTCACTTCATCCTGCCTAAGTTGGTCCCCATGCTGCCACCTGCCTGCTGGCCCTGTCTCCACCTGCCAGCCAAGCTGGGTGCCAGAGTGCAGACTAGGACCCCAGCGCTGCTCCCCAATTAAACCTATAAGACCAAGAGAGCTTTCCCGCCTAAAGGCTACCACTTTCCTCGGGGCCCTGCCTTTGCACAGGCTATCCCCTCTGAGGAAGATGACAAAGGTACCTCCTTTTCTTTTCTCTCATGCAAATGCTCACTTACCTGATCTGAAAGCCTCAGGAGGCCCTCCCAGTATAACCTGCCCCTTGTCCAACAAAAAGTCCCCTCTCTCTGGGCTCCCATGGCTGCTGGTACTATGCTACCTCATGGTTTGTGGCTCTCTACAAATCTGTGTCCAACTCCTTGCCTACCTGGGGCCTGGACCATGTGAGAGGATAAACCAGGTGATGAAAGTCATGGGCAAAAAGCTTCCTTTGCTTAGGGAGGAGCACAATGATGGGCCCAACTGTGCAGGAAATCTAGGGCACTGCAGGAGGTGAAACAGAGTTAAGGACCAGAGTCCTTAACCAGAGTCCCCCCTTCTTCAGTCAGCGCAGCTGAACTAATGTGATGTGCACGGTGCAATGCATACAGCAGATCACCCCGCATGTTGTTAGGACATGCAGCTCATCGTTCTATTTAACTTTTGCAGCAGAGCAGTGGCGCGAAAATTAGTGTCATCATTTGAAGGGTGAAGAGACAGAACCGGCAGGTAGAGTCACTGGTCCCAGTCACAGAGGTAGGGAGAACTAGGTGGGAGAGAAACCCAGGTCCTTCTGACTCTGGGAAGGTCAGTGTGCTTGGCTTCTGGAATGGTCTCCCAGTCTCTGGCACTGCTTGGCCAGAGACAATTCTTGGAATTACCAATGCTAACCTGCTCTGCCTGTTAAAGCCCTCTAGCATCTCTTGCTGCCCACAGTGGAGGTTCAAATCCCAGCCTTGCAATCAAGATGTACTCCACCCCCTCAAGATCTTGTATCTGGCAGTCCACAATACTGCCCAGTCTTATGCTTTTAGGACTCATGGAGTCCTGAACACACTGCCCCTCCCTGTGGGAGCTCCCCCCCCCGCCCCTTTTTTGTTCTCACTGACTTCAAAATCCTGAGCAGTAGCCTCCCCCATCAGGCTCCTCCATCAGGTTACTCCCAGGAAGTCTCTTAGAACTTGCTTTGGCCTGGGGTTCCAGAGCGGGCATAGCCCAGCCCCGCCCTAAGAAAGGATAAGTAAACGTCTCAGCACATCCCTTGCTTTGAACCAGAAGTTACAGTTAAGAAGAAAATAATCTGGACTCTCTCCACCTGCATTCTATCATTTAAAAGGTAAGGGGGAAAACCATCAAGCTTGTCCCTCCCGTCTGACTCACCCATCAGCTTTTGCCTTTCCCTGGTGCTGGAGGAAGTTGTAGGTAGAAACCATGTGGAATCAGGGCTCCCCCAGGTCTTGCCTTCCAGGTCTTCCTTTTGTAGGAGCAACCTAATGGCTGGGAATTGGGCAAGGCAGGATGGAGATGCAGATTATCCAGGTTCTGGGATCTCAAGCAGTCAACCAGAACAAGAAAGGAGGACCGGTTCCTCAACACCTCCCCTTCCAGAAGGGGAAGTCCAGTGCCCACAGTCACCTCCTTCGGGGGTAGTGGCCTGTGCCCCTCCCTCCTGTCCGCAGCACCCACAAAGTTATAGTTTAAAGTCTGGAATTGGGGGTGCAGAGATTTTAGGATTATCTTCACCACTCAGGGTCAAAAGACCAGTAGGCGCCTGCCATGTGAGCCCTCCCTCTCTGGTCTGTTTGGAGTTCTACTTGTCTAGATTTATCCAAAGGGCACAGTGCCTAGCCAGGAAGGCTAGAGAAGTTCCTCAGTCACCTCCTTGCCTCCAAGTGTGTGTGGGGGGGTCTGCCCCCAGCTCAGCTGTGCAGCACAGGGTACCCAGATGGCAAGCTCTGTCCCAGAGGGAGTCCTCACTCCATCCAGGACAAAAAGGCCTGGACTCCCCCAGGCTAGTGGCTATTCTGTTGGAAACCAGTGTCCAAGGTTCCCACACCTCCAAGTCCAAACCGGGTCTTGAGAGCCCAGATCTGGGCAGTCATGGGCCTCTCAGCTAAGGATGGAGGGCTGGTCCCCAACTCGGGGGCGGGGCTGCAACTCGCCATGCAAACCCATCTCAGCAAGACACCCACTCTCTGAAAGTCGCCAGCAGCCCTGTCTTCCCTTTCTCTCCCCTCCCCTCCCCAGGAGGCTGGATCGTGCTCCCAGACTTGCGGATGGGTGGCGCGCTCCGCCCAGCCCCGGTGCTGCGACCACCCACCGGCCTACCCAGTCCCGTCCAGTTCCCTTTTGGCCCTGTTCTGGGAGGTGGAGAGGGGGCAGGCTGCTGACGCCCCTCGGCAGGGCTGCAGCGAGGAGCCAGGCTGTTGCCGAGGAACCCGGAGAAAAGTTTGAAGCTAAGTCGGGCCCGGGTGGACAGCGGGGAGCGAGGAACTGGGGGGGCGGCTGCTTGCGGCGCGCACACTCCACGGCCACCACCCCCGACACGTCGACAGGCTCAGGCACAGCCGGCCCCGCGCCCCGCGGACACACAAAGGCACGACAGACGCACGTCCCCGACCCCGACCCTACAAAGCCCGGTAACGGCGAGCCGTACGTGTGCACAAAGACCCCCGAGGCGCACGCCCATGCCTGAGGACGCAGCCTTTGTCCCCTGGAAGCCCTCTCACCCGGGCCGGGGCCCCACTGCGGCCGAGCCGCGGGGTCCGGCCGGCTGCACCCCGGTGCAGGAAAAGTTGAGGGGCCCCTCCAAGCCCCGCTCGCCCGGTGCGGGCGAAGCCCGTCTACCGAGAGGGCGGCGAACTGGGGCCGGGGCCCG